TATTTAATAATATATATTATTATGTACATATTTTTATCCGTTTTTCCTTAAAAATCTTTTATTTACTTATTGTATTTTTTTTAGCTATTAAAAACGTCAGCTGGCTACATATCTGTATTACTTACAACAGGGAGTCAATCAAAGTTTTAAAATATAAATAACGGCCAAATTAAAAATATAAAACCAACAATGAATTAACTAAAAAATATTAACTAATTTAAAATATGTCATGTAAGATACTTGAAAAGTTTACGTAGAATGATTATATACATTGTAAATAAATTCAATATCTAAATTCTATGCTATTAATATAATATGTATACTGACTGTATATACTGATTGCTTATTGATAAAAATCATCAAATAATATAAAAAAATCAAAAAATTAGCTTGAATAATGACGAGAAAAGAAAGGAAAATAAATATAAGATATCTCGAGAAAATATCAGTAGCAATATTAGAGTGAAGATAATAAGCAATGTATTAAATAAATTAAAAAATATAAAATCCAATGTTATTAAAGAGATTATATATTTTTATTTTGTATACAGTTATAACATACCTTATATTTAATCTGATATTACTAAAATATATAGCACTAACATATTTTGATAAATATACAATATCTCCAAAATCTAATAAAAATTTTACCATTCATATAAAGGTTATGAGTTTCGCGAGTTCTTCCGTCCAGATCCATTCTTGGAATGCCAATGTTTCGTGAACCTTGCAGTTCACTTCATCAGGGCGAGGAGCAGCCTGATACTTTTACCATTCAGTTCTTGTTAATTAAATCTTAATATTTTATATAGAATATTAAGATGAATTAATTGATGATAAAATGCACATTAAAAAAAATATACGTAGTTGCATATTGCAAATTGCATAATTTTCTTCTTAAAGCAATGAGTGTATGTATTTCCTTTATATTAATTGATAATTTATTTCTATAAAGGATAAAAACTTTTAGGAAGAATTACTAAAATAACCAGTTCACGAAATATTTTATATTTCATACTAAAATGTGCTTAAATGAACTATAATATCCCACAAATTATTGATTTTTTTTATAACTTTATCTTAATATTCTTATATCAGAATAATTAGAGGAATTATATTATGTAAAATAAATTCTGTAATTTCACTTTAAAAATAGATATGAACTTCATATAGAAGAATATTTTTTCAAAAAATTAATTTGATTTATTTTCCTTTAAATCATACAACTTTTATTTAAACAACAATTTCGCCAGGTTTAGATTTAGACGTATTCTAGTGAATTATTTTATGTTTCCTATTCTCCATATTTAAACATAACTTTGAAAAAAGATTTTATTAAATGAGCATTTGCATAAAGTAAATTTAGATATTCTATACATTAAAAAAAATTTCATGTTTTATTGATAAAGCAAAATTTATTACAAGTAAGTATTCTTCTCCACACTGCAGACACAAGAATTGAGGAAAAATTATTCAATTATCATTATTTGTATCATTATTTGTATCATTATTAAATAATTATCATTATTAAATAGGTCGTAAAGATAAGAAAATTATAATACTATCAATTATATTCTCTGCAATCTAGGAAATATCACAATATTACATTAATTTCAGTACTGCAATTATAGATAGACCAAATAAACACTTAAATTGCAATAAAAAGGCAATATTACGTACATATTATTGCTCACTACACAACACAAAACAAAAAAATATAATTCAGATCACACGCAATGCTCAAAATCGATTACAAGTTCGTGAGAACTTAACAGAAGGATGAAAACCGGTTGCAAACAGGCATTTAACAACCCCTCGTTGTTACGCCAGTTTTTATCTGCTTCAAATGTTGCACACACGAGACACTGACAAAAAAACCTTCTACAGGAAAGGTTTAAAATTTTTTGTGTTCATCCTTTATGCAATAATTATCTTTAAAAAATTTTTATTAGGTATACATGCATGGATTATCAGTTAAATGAAACCTTCATGTCGTTCTAAGGAGAAAGTAGATGTCAGTGAATAATGAAGAAACTGCAAGAAGGATGAAATAATAGCTCTATGATAGTGAAATTCTGTGATACCAGTATCATAAATAGGATTTCTATTGAAAAATGTCTACATTCGGAAAGTGAATATATGAAAGAGCAAAATAGGCTTAATATCGTAAAATATGAAATGAAAATATCTATTTACTGTATTTCAATTTCAACAATAAAAATAATATTACTCAAAATTGGTCGTTATAAAATTATTATAGTCCAGACTATAGACTTCAAAATCGATATGGCAATGTAAGAACATGACTGCTTTATCTACACAACCAGTCGCATGATAACTACTTATCAACTAGTCATTACTTCAGTTATTATTCATGAATGCTTTGAACATTGTACTAGTAATTCTTCAGTTGCAAAACAAGAAGGGATCATAGATAGAATTTTTTAAACCTTCTGTCTAGTGATAGAAGGTCTAAATGTCTCGCATTTTTAGCGATTTTTATTATGCACATAAAATATCATCTCTCGTTGTATAGACATCGCTATAAAAGAAACAGAGTTATCAGTTCATCTTCTACGTTCAACATGGAAGCATCAAAATATCTTGCGTATCAAAATCATAGTAGATATGATTATAGATCATTATCAAAGAAAGGTCAGATAAAATATATTTCGTCCAAACTGAGATACATAATGGCTACACTATATCCTTAGTCTGCGATCTTACAATAGGTGTCCTTGTTTATCCTATAGGTTAAACAAAGACACTTATCATATAGGTGGAGGACTAAACATACCGTAAACGTAACCATTCTATCGAAATTTTGTTGAAACAGATTTCGAATGGGCAGTGAAATTAAATCGATTTGGTCTAGAAATAATCGGACTTTGGCCTAAGTCCGGACAAACTACATGGGAAAAGCGTGTGTGCAATTTACGTGTACTTCTCACTTTCTTATTAATGATACTTGTTCTTGTTATTCCTGCTATACATTCTTTGATAAGAATCCATTTTGACATTTTACTTGTGGCAGATAATTTGATGTGTACTTTACCAATCAGTGGTTGCCTCTTGAGACTTGTAATTTTTTGGTGGAAGAGAAAAGGTAGACAAAATAGCAATTTGATCGTCACGATATAAAATGTATTTATAATATATCAGTCTACCTCTACATATCAACCTAATCTCTATTTTAATCTCTATTTCTTTATACAATTTTAATTAAAATTAAAAGTTTATTTATTTATATTCAATTTTAGAAAAATCAGAAACAAAATAAGTTAAATTCATATACCGCAATTATTATTGATTTATGTACATTAGTAATTATTTATATTTTACATTTCTTGCATACATATAGAGAGTTACTATTACAATTACGCACTTTATCACACATAATTAAGAAAAAATTTTTGAAAATTAACTGTGACTCGAAATCTAGAAACCTATTCTGGTTTCAATTAATTTGCAAAAAAATATTATGATCTTAGGTTATTCATATTTTTCCGCAATTTTCTAATATTTAATTGAAACTAAATTTGATCAGAATCAAAAAATATTTTATAAATTACCTATATTAAAATTTCATTTTATTTATAATAAATTATTAAATATATAGGGTATTATTATAAAATACGGCACCCGTCGTAGCAGATAGAACAGATTAAACAAAGTCGAAAATCCTCTTTTTTGCGATTTTCGCAATGGTTATGAGATATTAATTAAAAATCGCTAAATATTGATTTTCAATGATTTTTTACTCAACTTTTACTATCAACTTTACAGAAAAACAGCAAGAGATAAAAATGATTTATTTTCTTCTTATAAAGTTCTGAGAATTTTTTCAAAATTTTTTAATATTGTATTTTCTCATGGTGATAAAAATAAGAAAATGTAGTATTAAAAAGTTGATAAAAAATTCTGAAAAAATTCTTAAAGTTCTATGAGGAAAAAATTAATGATTCTTGTTTCTTACAATTTTTCTGTAAAATTGATAGTTTCAGTAAAAAATTATTGAAATATTTAGCGATTTTTTTAGTAATTAATATCTCGTTAATCATTGCGAAAATCGCAAAATGAGAACTTTTCGACTCAGTTTAGTATTCTACTATACCGTGCTAAGATAGGTGATGCCGTATTTTATGACACCTTGTATAAGTACTTGACACTTATTTTATTATAGTATTAATTTCTTTATTTTTGTATTCTTAAAGCTGTCGCACAAATAATACATTTGATTGCGAACGATTGGACAAAAATAACGACAGCTCAAGAAAAAGCAATAATGATAGCAAAAGCGCAAATTGCACGTATTATTATCACATTTGGATATGGCATGATGGGAGCGGCGATTATTGTTATGCTTGTTTTGCCTCTATTTGGTTACTCGGTGAGAAACCTGTCTAATATTACTGAAGATCTGGAGAAACCATTCTCATTGCAGACATATTACATCTACAATACTAGAAGAAGTCCACAATATGAATTGACATATGCTGCTCAATGTATTGTCTTATTCTTCTGTACCATTTGTTATACGTGCATAGATAACTTTCTTAGTCTTTCGGTATTTCATATTTCTGGTCAACTGGATATTCTGACAAATCGTCTCTTGCATTTACATATTGTCGCCAATCTTAACAATGCTTTAAAAAATTGTATAATGGATCATATAAGGTTGCTTAGGTATATTTTATCCTATATACATATTCCTATATTTACATATATATATATATATTTATATTTATATACAATAAAATCCGGATTATCCGACATTGCTTTTTTCATCTTCCAAATTATCCGACTACGTTATCAAGTTCTCCTGATGATAATATTACGAGCGATTTTTTTAGTATTCCAATATCGTCATGAGAACATGATAATGATAAGATCAGATAATCTGGGAAGAAAACGTTGTCGAATTATTCGGGTTCTACTGTATATAGTATGAGTGTTTGTAGTGTAACGTAAATGTGTAAGTAATATGTGAGGAATAATTGAAAAAATATTAATTGCAGTATTAAATGTAAATAATTTTGTATCTAAATTTTGTATCACAAATAGAATTAATGTCTAGAGTAAGAATTGTGTGAATATTTAAATAAAAAATGTGTAAGAGAAATAATAAATAATAAAATTGGAATTGAGTGCGACGCGCAAATTGGATGTAATAGCTTTATTGCGCCGTTTGAGAATACGAATCAAAATTATTTTGGAAAGGTCTGCCTAGTGTAAATGTAGTTATGCAGTTACAATTTGACTGATTTCTTTGCTACTGAATTTTTTTGTGTCTGTAGAGACAGAGAGAATGGACGTAAAATATAGTTATTTTTTGACAAAATTTATATTATTTAAACAGTTTTCTGAGAAATTTTTATGAAATACAACAGCATAAAATAATATAACATTGCAATATTACTTTGCAACAAGATTACAATATTCCCATATAAATAAAATATTAAAGCAACATTGCTACAATATTTTGTGCTATAAAAGAAGTTTTATTGAACGCAAATGTACCAAAGAGAATCTTCAATGAAAAAAATAATTAGAATAGTTTTAAAAAATAAAAAATCTGATTAAATTTTACTTAACTTTCTCTTTACTTACTCTTTCTCTTAAAAATTTTTTTAAGCATTAAAATATTCATAATTTGCGCAATAAATCCAGAGAAACATAAAACTTTACAACACTCATTGACGTTGTTTTTAATTAGTTATCAAAAATTGCCAAGCTTTTTTACAAACTTATACAAAAAAATTCAACAGCGAAAAATCAATTAACTCAGATTCACGCCACTTGGCAAACTTTTCCAAAACGTTTTAACGTGCAACTCTTAACAGTACTTAAG